CTAAAGAATTTTGATAGGGTCGTAGATGTATATTACCCGTCCTCTGTAGAATTAAATTGGCGGTTATTACTTTTGCCTATTTATTATTGTGTAATTATGGGTGGTTATTTGCTTTTTTTTATGTATAATGTGCTTTGTAAGATAAAACTAGTCTTTTTTTTTTTATTATTATTATTTTTAAATTCCCGTTGAATATTTTGAAGAATATTGTCCGTGTTTAATGAAATAAAGAAGTTACTATGATTATATATGTTACTGTGTTCTTAAGTTCTAAAACGCTATTAGATATTCGACGACTAATTAATTTGGGATTTTGAGAGGCTCCGTGTCACTTTAGTTCGCAGGGAGAAAGTGTAAGTAAACATGACTGACTACACATCCTTCTATTGACTACACATCCCACCAAACATCTACCTTATTCTGTTATTTCATGTATGGCATCTATCGGGTCCCGAAATCGGATGCCTCGTTTTCTTTGATCCTTGTTTATACCTTGTTTTGTGTTATTAATGTTTTCCTCGTTTTATATTTACTAAATATTTACTAATAAATTATTCTGCTAATGTTTGTGCCTCGTTTTAAGTTGATAAAGATTAACTCGTTTTCTTCTAAGCTTCGTTTTATTTTACTAATGTTTATGCCTCGGTTTTTGTACTATTTTCTTTTACGAATGTTTTGTCTCATTTTCTTTTACTAATGTGTGTCCTGTTTTATTTTACTAATGTGTCCCGTTTTCTTTTATTAAAGTTTGTCCCGTTTTCTTGTATTAAAGTTTGTCCCGTTTTCTTTTAATAAAGTTTGTCCCGTTTTCTTCTATTAAACTTTGTCCCGTTTTCTTCTATTAAACTTTGTCCCGTTTTCTTTTACTGATGTTCGTTCCACGTTTTCTTTACCAATCTTCCGTGGTGAAGTTCAATTAACTTTTCCACTTCCTGCCAGGTTAGCTTTGTACTTCCTGTTGTCGATGCATGGGTGTATGCAACTCCCTGCGTCGGTTTGCTTAAAAGGCTGAACACATTGCCACAAACAAAGGAATTCCCTACCTCTTCCCTACCTTGTCAAAACTTTATTACCTACGGGCACTTGTAACACCTGTGGATTACACCTGTAGGCTGGGAGTGAATGTATATCTTTTTGTCTTCCTGTCTGTATCTTTCTCTTTCTTTCCCTTTCCCTCTCCCTCTCTCTCGTTCATTTATTTTTTTCTTACTGCCAGTCTATCCATATCACCAGCTCTCTCTCTCTCTCTCTATCTATCTATCTCTCTATCTCTCTATCTCTCTCTCTCTCTCTCTCTCTCTCTCTCTCTCTCCTCTCTCTCTCTCTCTCTCTCTCTCTCTCTCACACACACACACACACACACACACACATACACAAGCACAAACGCGCGCACTCTCTCTGTCTCTCTCTCTCTCTCTCTCTCTCTCTCACACATACACTGGCATACGCGCGCGCAAACACACATACACACGCGAGCGCGCACACATACAAACATATCCCCCATTTTTCCTTCCTTCCCCCTTTCTATCTCTCCATTCTTAAACAAAGAACATCTTCTTACCTTCACTTTTAGATATTCCTCTTGGGTCATGAGTCTACGTATCCCATTGACTCCCGTTGCGGTGATGTTTAATCCGTCCACAGAAGACACTGTTACCATCTTCATTTCTTTCCCGTTTTCTTTCACTAATATCCCTGATTCGTTTTCTTTCAATAATGTTCCAGTCTCGTTTTCTTTGACTAGTTTGTCTTTTACTACGGTTTTTGTCTCGTTTTCTATTGCTAAATGTTCTACTTCGTTTTCTTTCACTGAGGTTTTTGTTTCGTTTTCATTTGCTAAATTTTCTGCCTCGTTTTCTTTCGCTGAGGTTTTTGTCTCATTTTCTTTTGCTAAATTTTCTGCCTTGTTTTCTTTCACTGAGGTTTTTGTCTCGTTTTCTTTGGCTGATGTTGTTTTTCCTTCTCTCTGGTTTTCTTTTACGTTTTCTTTATCCTTCTTTTGGTCTTTTTCTATTTCTTCTTGATTAGTTATTTTGTTTTCATTTCTCTCTTCTCTTCGTTCTTCTTGTTGGCTTCCTTTTTCGTCTTTTTTCGGCTTTTCTTCCCCATCATTCCAATCTATTTCTCTCGTTGCCTCTCTGGTTAGTCCTATTTCCTGACCTCCTTTCCCCTTTTTGCCATCCCCTCCTACTTTGTCACTCTCTCCACTGCCTCCTTTTTCACTTTCTGTTCTTCCTTCACCTTTTCCTCCTACTCCTCTTTTGCCAACTCCTCCTCCACCTTCACTCACACCAGCTGTAAGACTCGCGCCAGATGGAACTAAACCAACATGGCCGCCGGTTTCCCTCCGGAGTCCCTGTGCAAATAACTTATCGGGCTGTGACGCAGATGGGCGTAACGCTGTGGTTGCTTGTGACGTGAGAAATGGGTCTATGTTTACTCGTGACGGAGTGCTGTGTAAAGAGGCCCTTTGCTGTGTATCTAGTGGCTGTGGTGAACT